ATTTGACTTTTGGCATAAAAATATGAACCCGATTTGTTTCCTGATTAAATGTATCAACGAAGGTAAGGCACTGTTACCTGTGCCTCTGTTATTCCCGAGCTGGGACTTGAATCCGACTTTAGCATATAATTTATTTACTTTATAATATTAGCAGTGAATCATCTCTGGTGCTTTCTAGTTGTGATTTACGCAGTAATCTTTTGTTTCTAGTATGATGGATCCAAGAAATCAGAAAGAATCATATATATTAACACAAAAATGATGCAGTGTCACACTATGATTTAATTCTACAATAACAAGGACAGTATTTTGAACAGTTTTTTCATTAGCCCCAATTTTTATCATAGCATTTGTACTGCTATGAAGTTATTTTTTTCACTTAATAGTAGTATCTTTATTTTTCAGTTTTGTTGTAGTTATATCTTGATGAGCATTTATTTATGTTATTATTATTCTTTCTCTTGCCACAATCACACTTTTCAATTCTAATAAAGATAACATATTACCATTGGAGGAATGATAATAGGCATTCCAAATGTTTGCTCTTGTAACTTGGCCTCTACCCTTATATACAAGATAGCAAAACTAGGACAAAAAAATATAAGGTAGGTACAGTTGACTCATGATAACTCAAAATCCAAGGGATTACAAGAAAAATTTGAATTATCGAGATTTTGAATTATCAAGAGGAAAGAAAAAAAAATTTGAATTATTAAGAGTTTTATTATATTTTTGAAAATATGTATGAGCTTACATACATTTTATATATAAATAGCCTCATATAAAAAATATTACTAGGAAAATTTTTAAATATAAAGAGGGGAAGTGGCCTAGTACAAATTATAAAATATTCTCTTCCCCTCTAGTTACGAAAATAATTTCGAGTTATCGAGCTATCGAAATACAGCATTTTTTTGATTTACCGAAGTTAACAGTTGAAGAGTTTGAATAATTGTCGAATTATCGAGAGTCGACTGGATTCATATTGTTGAAGATATCAATACTTTTTAAATAATCTTTTAAAATATAGTTGGAAGAAATTGATAATCAATTTATCAAATTCATAATACCAGACAAAAAAATTACTAAGTACTTATATGGTATGAATCTACCGTTGTTTTTTTTTTTAGTTCCCAACCACAATATCTCTTCAAAATTTGACTAACTTTGCAAAATTAGGTATACCATTGAAAAGAATACGAAATGAGGCAACTTTTATAAAATTCCCAAATTTTCACTATAAGAGTCGCTTCATAGAGTGATATATTCCAACGAATTGGTTTCTATGGTAAGAAAATGGCCGTAATTCCAAAAAAAGGTGACAAAAGTAGAGAAATTTGGATTTTTATGGAGGAAAATATGTTTTTCATGAAAATTCATTTGAAACTTCATATACAGACAACTGATTTAGATTAAAAAAGATGTGGTTGGTTGTACTGAATTTCATTTTTATTTAATATTCCTCCTTTAATTCTTGATGGTTCACCCTAAAATACAATGCATAAAATAAATAAATTTAAAAAATAGCAGAATTGTTTGCAATTAGTAAAAAATAATTGATTGCTTGAAGGTGTGTCACTCTTCGTTATTTGCTGTTCAATTTATAATATAAGGCTAAGAATATTCCTCTAAAAACATGAGTATCCCAACTTATTTCCTTTTTTTTAAAAAAAAAAAGATTAATGGTTAAATCAATAATAATGAAAAAATAAATCTTAAATTATGATTTAACAAAATAATTCTCGTTTCCAACAGCTACATTATAACCTAAATTGTCTCTATTCATACAAAACTCATTCCAATAAGCCATTAAATCTACTGTAGTCTGTTTTTCATATGTTTCATTGATATTGAAAAATTATCTAAAATTTTGTTTTACAAATCAACAATACAAATTGTAGTTCCAAAAGAAAAAAAATATTTGTGAGTTTTGCTTGAATGGGGACAATAACACATTACCTTATTTATCTTTATAAGTTGGTACAATTTACAACTTCACAATTAAAAACAGAAATTCCTAAGATTTGTGGCATTAATGAAGGTGAAATTATATATTACAGAAAAGAAATCATTTCATGAATTGCCCATAAAATCAAAAAAAGGTAGAAATATTAATAATAAACAAATAGAATTTTAAGAGAACTTAAAATTAATTTTTAGACACAACCAACAAACATTAATGAGATCTGATTAAATGAACTAATTGTATTATATTTGGGTTAAAATCTTGGTCAAATAGGAGGCATACTGTGAGCACGAACAAACAACAACGTTCACTTTGGACTTGAGTAGTCAGGCAGATAGAATGTGGACAAGTCAAGCCAAACCAGTATGAAAACTCACTATCAGGAGTGTGTATTGTGAGATTTATTCAATTCATTTTTTCTTGATTTCACGTTTTCTTTTAATGTTCTCAATGAGACACATCCAGCAATTCCTCTTGTAAAGAAGAATTGCTTTTTTTCTGTTCTATTTGTGTTAAGCCAGGCAAAAGAAAAAGGGTATATGAAATATGAAAGAGAAAAGAAATAAAAAACAAAAACAATGAAATTTTTAAAAATGGTGCAGTGCGCAAATCACACAACTTTCACTTACCAACCGTATATAGGTATTAGAGTAGATAGATATTTCCTTATAGGAAGTTAAAGTGGAAACGATGGTATAACTTCATCTAAAACAAATAATTACCATGTTTTTCCCACCCACTTTTACGACTGTGCATAGTACCAAACGATACTAATGATTGTGAGAAAAATGGATCTTTTGGAAAAATTCTGAGTTTAATTGGAAACATTGTTTACGAAACTCGTCGAAAAAATAATATAACGTTAGTAAATATTGCATGTTGAATATTAGGTTTATAATAGTAAATCCTCAAGGTTTCACATGAAAACCTTTTGGAAAAATCATGGATAAGTGATACATAAAAATTAAACTAACAATATTAAAGTCCTGTAAGAGGGGTATCAGGTATCTGTAATGGAAGAGGATCGGCAAAGGTCGGGCACTCTCGGCTAAACAACCTAGCTTCCTACATATCCTATACGATGTAGCTTCCTACCATTATTTTCCCTTCAGTTATCAATCAATTTTCTTCATTCACTATATTTAAACATTTTTTATAGTAAGTTCAAATGTGAAATGGTTAATTATTTCAAAGAAAAAAATTAAAGGTACTTTAGAGGAAGAAATTTCAAAAAATCGGCATTTAAGGCCTGTCAGGTTGCATTAATGAGGATAAAACCTACATTAAATAAAAAACGCTGAATTTTACACTGATGTAATGAATTTAATCAAATTGTTAGAGCCATTTTTGAGAAATTCATGAAAATGTGTTGAATCGATGATATTAAGTACCACTTCTGGTAAACCGATTTTGATGAAAAAGTTGCTGTAACATCCCAGGTATACACAAAACTTAGATATGCAACATCAGTTTCATATGACTTTTCATTTTTGAGCTAGGCTGTTCACATACATACACACACACAGGCCATTTTGTGGGACTTGGTTTTTTGGACTCGAGGAACCTCAAAACGTGAATTTCCGTAGAAAACTCAGATTCAAAATTTTTCACAATCATAATGCTTAGCCTTACTATATATTACATATTTAAGTAAATGAGAGTAAAAAGAAGATTTTAGTCAGTAGTTTCATCAATGGAATATGATAAAATTATAATATATTTCAATTGCAATATCTCTACACTTCTGCTTCTCATCACCATTTCCAGTTTATGTAGACTTTGTAATAAACCACAAGTGGTTTTCAGTCTGTTATGGTCTAGACTAGTTCCGCTATAACAGACTGCCTTCTATTTGACCAGGATGTATCATCCTTGGGTTATAAAAAATCCACAGTGAACAGGTGGACTGGTTCATGTGGTCAGTATACCGCCTGTTTGACAGAGCCTCAACAATTATTTTTGCAGATAAATGTACATAAACATATATATATATATATATATATATATATATATATTGAGATTAGATGAAATTTTCCACTATGAAAATTATAGTATTATAATATAAAATTTAAATAAATAGTGCTTTCAGTCACTTTCAGTGAAAAGTGATTCACAGGGATTCATAGGCTAACAAATAATGGATAAATTTTTTAAAAGTTACATTATTTTACAATCTAATAATTTTGATAATAAAAGTAGTTTCAAATGGTGAATTTTCAAAATTATAAAAAAAAGAAAAAAAAGAACTATAATAATACTTTCAAAAGTCTAATTATATTGATATTCTTAATCCATAAAGGAAGTACATAATTTAAACGAAATAAATACCAATCATAAGCTAAAATAAATCTTGAGAAAGATATAAAAAATGAAAACATAAATTTATAAAATTAGAATAAGGAGAAAATTTCAAAAACGTTTTCTTCAGAATATATTATGAAAATTACATTATTTCCAATTTTGCAAATTTCCTGATATTGATAGCTTATTTTATTTCATAGGAGAATTTAATTTAATTTTTAAAGCATACATGATGAGGACTAGTTCTATCCCAAAAGTAAGAAAATATGACATGTTTTACTAAAAGAAAGTTTTCTTATATTATTGAGACTTAAAGCATAAGATATTTTCTGCAGAACTTGAAAAAAATTAAAAACACAAATACACAAGTAAATGATAGGTTACAAATGGTGATCATCATTGAAATATATTTATTTATTAAGGTACTCTGTAAACAATAACAATATTATAAAATTCAAGTAAAAAGAAAGTGATGATAAAAACGAAGTTTATTTTATATCAAATAATTGATATGACTAATATTAAGTGCCTTGTACTATTGATGTGTGCTAAAAATTACATACACTAGTTAATTTAAAATCATAAAAATAACAGTAATAATTTTTTTTTAAAAGTATTACAACACCAAATTATATAAAGCTATCATATTTTAATAAGATTTTGAGCTTGCTTTAATCAATTTCTAAAATATGCATTGAGATAAATTACACCAATTTTGCATTAAAAATGTTTCCTAAGCAGACTACAAAAATGATTAAACCCCTTAGTAATTGACTAGATTTGTTTGAAAGACCTATTTAACTTATAGATAAAAATGATAAGTAATACGATGTCTTACCTGATAATCTAGAATAGAAAAGCCAAGCCCTCGCTCCCCTTTTACAAGCTCAATGATGTGAGGCTCTGAGCTCCACATCGCTAAACCAGTAATTGGTTCCAGAGAGCGAGAACGAAGTTTACTTAGATTTGGTTCTGTTGGAGCAGTAGTAGTAGAAGCAAGAGAGCCATCTGATTTAGCTTTTACTAAACGCTCTGTAGCAGGCAAAAGATTCTGTAGGCTTCCACTAAGGATACTCTAAGAAATAAAAAATAATTAATTATAAATATATTTATATAATTTGTTGATGTTTTCTATAAAGTACATAAACTTTAAATCAAATCAGGTTTAATTTATCAAATAATTGCATGCCTTCCTAATTAAAAATCATAGCTTACAACTTTCAGTTCAGAAATCAAATTTATAAAATATTAATATGAATAACTTAAATTTAAATTTCAGAATAAGATGAAAACTTTTTTTTAAAAAACTTGGTGTGGTGCACACAACTTTCACCTACTTTGAGTAGAAGTAGGTAATTCCAAATATAGGTTAATGAATGTAAAAATTCTAGCTAGTACAACATATTCACTTAAAATAATTAATTGCCATACCTTTTTCCCTCCAGTCTAATTTGAAAATGTATGCATTTTTTGCCACTATCCATTACCTTCTATAATATTAGGAGGTAATGAATTATTTAAGGTAATATTTTGCATTCCAGACCACTTCAATCTTTGCTCCTTAGACATTGACAGTTTATTCACAAACATATCCATAGGCAATGCACTTAGAATAATAGGTGACAATTGGCTTATCATTGAACCCCACACATCAATTAACCGTTCCTCATATCTCGAATATCTTCATCTATGTTGTAAATCAGGCTACCTCACCTTCCAAGGACAATTTTTTAACCAAATTTCTGGAATAGTAATGGGCAACCCCCTCACTCCCAACACCTCCAACATCGTTCTTAATGACCTTCTAGACTCCATTATCCCTCTGTACCCAGACGATATCATCTTTATCCGAAAATACATAGACGACCTCCTTCTAATCCTCAATCTAGATAAAATTTCCAATATCATATCAGCCTTTAATTCTTACCACCCCCACCTCAATTTTACAGTAGAACACGAATTAAATAACTCTCTTTTTCTCGATCTTCTCATCATAAGTAATCCTAACAACAACATATCCACAGGCTGGTACACTAAACCAACTTACACAGGCAGACTTATGAATTTCCATTCTAAACATCATCACCAAAAAATTAATGTTGCTAAAAATCTCATCCACCAAAGTCTCTCCCTCTCCGATTCCCAATTTCATGTAACCAATATCCAACATATAAAACAGATCCTTTCAAATAATAATTTTTCTCTCTGTCATCAACAAACTTATAACAGACCACAAAAATCGCTCTTCCTCAATCTCGACCTCCACAACCCATTTCAGCCTCCATATACAGATATCTACCTTAATATTCCTAATCTTTCTGACAACACAAACAAAGTTTTATGATCTATTAATCCTAACTTACGACTTGCCTTCAAATCTCGCAATACACTTTAAAATTAGTACACATCCTTAAAAAATCCTGTTCCTCTTTCACACCGCTCTCATATCCTTTACTGTATTCCGTGTTCTACCCCTAATTGTTTTTCATCTTATATTGGCGAAACCAAAAATCTTCTAAAAGACTGCATCACCCAACATAAATATTCTGTATCCTTTCGTAATTTTAATAATAATAATGAATCAATTATAACTGACCATACTGTGCATCACAATAAACCAGATATCCTTCTGATAGATATGAGAGAGAAAAGAGCAGAGCTTATTGATGTCGGGATCCCCAATGATAATAATATAAACCCCACTGTTGGAGAAAAACTGAGAAAATACCAGGAACTGGCAATCGAACTGAAGGAATTATATCATTTGGGGAACGTCACCACCACTCCAATTATAATATCCTCCAATGGATTGATACCAAAGACAACAGGGGCAGACACGATGGGATTAAAATTACCTCTTGAAGTGCTGAAAGAGGCTCAACACTCAGTTCTCTTAGACAAAGCACGTATTGTTCGAAAATTTTTAAACGTCTAAAAAAATAATCAATATTAATATGAAGGTGGCTGGACTTCTGGTCTCCCACCTCAGAAACTTACCCCGCAAAGTGAGAATAAAGAATGAAAATAATAATAATAATAATACTGTCCCACATAATATCATGACTGGTTGATTGAAATTCTCAGGATTTATAAAGTCGATCAAAAGGTAATGGAAATATTGCAACAATTTATGAAGCTATAAGAAGTATCATTGGTACATCCAACTAAAAAGAAGCCCATCGTGTCAGAGAACATTCCTATAAAAAGAGGAATATTTCAGGGGGGTTCGTTAAGCCCTTTATGGTTTTGCCTAGCAATTAATCCTCTAAGCTCTATTTTAAATAAATCTGGAAAAGGCTATTCCCTGAATCAGGAAACAATAATTTCTCACTCTTTTTATATGGATGACTTAAAACTCTATGCAAAGAACGGGAGAGATATGAGAACTCTTCTCGAGTTAGTAAGTTGATTCACTGAAGATATTGGGATGAAGTTAGAAACAGATAAATGTGCAACCCTTAAGGTCCACAGAGGAAGATATAAGGAAACAGCTAATATTGAACTTAATAATAGTGATGTCATCAAGCAACTTCAGTTAACTGACTCCTACAAGTATCTTGGTATCTCACAGCTGCTTAAATTCAAAAAAGAGGTCAAAGAAACTTTTGAAGAAGAATTTAAAAAACGGGTCAAGATACTCCTCAAAACTAATTTATCGGCCGGAAATTTAATAAAAGCCTTGAATACCTGGGCGATTCCTGCTGTTACATATTCATTTGGAATAATAAAATGGTGCGACATGGATTTGGAAAAAATGGAACGCTTATTAAGGACGGAAATGATAAAATCATGGCAATGTCACCCAAATTCTTCAGTGCCAAGACTATATTTGTCTAGAAAACATGGAGGTAGAGGACTTTTTAGTTTAATGAAGGCCTGCCGTGAACAAGAAGCCAGGCTTCGACAGTGCTATCGACCGTTGCTGCCCTTGACTGCAACTATACAGCACTTAATATGCTTCAGCAAGGACCAATGACAATGCCAACTGAAGAGAGCCTCACAGAATCATGGAAGTGTAAATCACTTCATGGAAGATTTTACAATTCCCTGAAAACACCTGGCATAAATTTAGAAGCCTCAGTCCATTGGTTGACTACAGGAAAAATGTTCCCAGAAACAGAGGGATTCCTTCTGGCGATACAAGAACAGGTAATTGCAACATCCTCCTACAAGAAGTATATTCTACATGAAGCAATCGATGACAGATGCTGTCTATGTAAAGCCACAAATGAATCGATTCAACATGTTACATCTGGCTGCAAGGCATTAGCGGGTAAAGAATACCTAGTGAGGCACAATAATGCGGCAAAAATCGTGCATTAAAATTAATGTAATTTTAAGCCTTTTTATATTTATCAGCTGCAGGCAATATTAGAAAAAGAGAATGTCAAGCTACAGTGGGATCAAACTATGATAACTGACCATAGTATTCCCCACAATAGACCAGATATACTGCTCGTTAACAAAGAAACAAAAAAAGCCATCATTATCGAAGTTGGAGTTCCTGCTGATGATAATGTAGCTAAAACACTAAGTGAAAAAATTCGGAAATATCAAGAGCTTTGTGAGTAATTAAGGCAGTTATACAGGCTGGTGGAAGTAAAAGTACTACCCATTATCGTATCCAGCAATGGCCTGATTCCTGAAGATACCATCAAATCAATGAAGGTACTTGGATTAAGCTGGGAACTTCAAGAAATCCAGAAAGCAGTAATGATGGGAACCGCCAGCAATGTTCGAAATTTTTTTAATATTTCAAATTAAATAGTTAATAAACTGTACCCTTGACCTCGGTCCGGGTCAGTGGATTTATCCGGCATAAAGCCGAGAATTGAAAAAATAAAAAATAATAATACTGTCCCACATAATAGGCCTGACATTCTAATAATCGATAAAGAAAAGAAAATAGCGTCCATTATAGAAATTGGAGTCCCTTCACATGATAATCTGCACAAAGTAGTGGTGGAAAAAAAAAAATGTAGAATTGGCAGAAGAATTAAAACAACTGTATAATTTAAAGGAAAGCCGGATTTTATCATTAGTAATTTCATGTAATGGATGATTACCAGAAGAATCTCAATCATCTTTGCGTGAGCTGGACTTGCCGTTTATGACAATGGAAAAAATGCAAATGGCAATATTGTTAGGAATGGCAAGTATTGTTCGTAAATTTACAAATATAAAATAATCTTGAAAATATATGAATGTAATATTTGGTTGACCGATTCGGTCCCCAATTGTTACAAACAACCATGTAAAGTGTGAATCAAATAAATAATAATAATAATAATCTTTTATTTATTCTGGGACGAATCCCTTTACAATAATTAACAAGAACAGATATGTGGGATTTTGAGTCCCAGATATATATATATAAATGTATTTACAAAGTTAACTAATAGATATAATAGAGAATGTAGCGGCAACAGTTTCAGCTCTACAAGCTCACCCGTGCAACATACCAAAACCCCAATGTGATTGTGCCAACGGAGTGGGGTGCCGGGTTTATGGATTTTAGGAAGTCCATAAAAACGGGGAGCAACTGAATTGTAGGAGATAAGGTTTTGGTAAGTAGGGTAGTTTATTAGTTTAAAAGATTATTATTAATTATTAATTAATGATTATTAATCTTTTAAATTCTAAACTCATAAACTACCCTACTTACAGAAACCTTATCTCCTACAATTCAGTTGCTCCCCGTTTTTATGGACTTCCTAAAATTCCTAAACCCAGCACCCCACTCCGTCCGATCACTTCCAATATTAATTCTCCTTCAGTTAAACTTAGCAAATTCTTACTACCTTCCTTACAAATCTTCAGCCACAACAACCCTTATGATGCACATAACTCATTCCATCTCTGTGAACAGTTACTCTCCTTTACCATTCCAAACAATTTTATTCTTTGCTCCTTTGCCGTTGAAAGTTTATTTACGAACATACCCATAGACAAGGCACTTACTCTAATAGACGAAAATTGGACTATCATTGAACCTCACACCTCATTTAACCATTCTTCATATCTCAAATCCCTTCATCTTTGCTGTAAATCAGGCTACCTCACTTTTCAAGGAAAAATGATGAGATTTTAACCAAATCTCCGGGATAGCAATGGGTAACCCCCTTGCTCCCGACATCTCCAACATAGTTCTCAATGATCTTCTAGACTCCATTATCCCTCTTTAACCAGACGATATCATATTTATTCGAAAATACATAGACGACCTCCTCCTAATCATCAATCCAAATAAAATTCCTAATATCCTATCAAATTTTAACTCTTACCACCCCCGCCTCAATTTTACAGTACAACGCGAACTCAAAAATTCTCTCCCTTTTCTCGACCTTCTAATCATTAAAAATTCCAACAACACCATATCCACAGACTGGTACACTAAACCAACTTACACTGGCAGACTCCTAAATTACCATTCTAAACATCCCTACCACCAGAAAATTAACGTTGCTAAAAATCTCATCCACCAGTCTCTCTCTCTCTATCTCTGATCCCCAATTTCATGCTACCAATATCAAACGCATAAAACAGATCCTCTTAAACAATAATTTTCCTCCCCATGTCATTAACAAACTTATAGCAGACCATAATAATCGCTCTTCCTCAATCTCGACTTCCACTAATTCTCCACAACCCATTTCGGCCTCTATACACAGATCTCTACCTTATATTCCTAACCTTTCAGACAACATAAACAAAGTTTTACGATCGACTAACCCTAGCTTACGACTTGTATTCAAATCTCACAATATATATATATATTTATATGATATGTATTAATTTCAATTATTCTCCATTATTACTCAACAGTTATTATCTGTATTTTATTGCATCTCCAGAATTTCTATCCACTATTTAAATTTATTTATAATCTATAAACTATTTATTTATTATAAATTTATTTTATATTAAACTATTTTATTGCCTCTTTCTATCAACTTTCGTTTAATTATTCATAATATTTATGAATATATCTCTCATCCTTATTTACGCTTCCGGTACTTTAGTTCAAACTTCGTCAGATAACCGTTGGAGATGACGCCACTATACATCCCTTCTCTCCACTCGCCCTCCCCACCCTAACTAACACCCTCATTGCGTAGATTTACATCTTCGTAATCAGGTGGGTCTTCTCTTTATTTTTATTTTTCTTTCTTATTCTCTTTCTTATTTCAACATTCTCAGTTTCCTTCCTCCTTCCTTTCACCCCTCTGCTCTGTATTATATTATACATTGTCTGTACATTTTGATAGACTTTACAACGCTTCTATATTCTTATATAATGGTTATTTACATGTTAATTTACGGGAGGTATTATTATCATTTAGCAAGTCTAACTTTTTTTATCATATTTTTGGACATACATTATGGCTATTTGTTTTGTTTTTTCTGATTTAATGAAACATATATTTTTGAGGTTTTTGCTAAAATTGTTAAAAAACCTCAAGTCATTATTTATAATTTTCATAAATTTATTATTTTCAATTTTATGTTTACTCCTATTTAAATAATTAGAGATTTCAAGATTAATTTGGTTTCTTATACAATTCATATGATTATCTGTAATAATTTCACAGGTAAGTATATTTTCAATATCGGCTATTAATTTTACCACTTTTCAACTTAAAGCTTTATTATTTTATTAAAAATGCATGCAGAAATTTTCACCAAGTGATAACAAGTTGATTATTCTGATAGGTATTTCTATTTTAGTCAGGTTATTTACTCTTTATTTTTGGCAATGAAATCTTCCAGGTATACAAACAATTGGTTTATTTGTTATATTACATGTCAAGTTGACGTTTCGGCAAAATTATGCTCATCTTCAAAACTTATATTCTTTCATAGCAATTTATGGCTATAGCCTTATGTGATCCTTTGTCATGATTTGAAATTTATGTGTTATAAATATAATAAAAATATACTATCTGGAGGATCAACATTCCTAGGACTAATAATGTAATTAATAGAGCAGACACCCAATTATTAGTCCTAGGAATGTTGATGCTCTAGATAGTATATTTTTATTATAGTTATAACACATAAATTTCAAATCATGACAAAGGAGCACATAAGGCTATAGCCATAAATCGCTATGAAAGTATAGAATTAAAGTTTTGAAGATGAGCATAATTTTCCCAAAACGTCAACTTGACATGTAATATAACAAATAAACCAATTGTTTGTATACCAGGAAGTTTTCATTGCCAAAAATAAAGAGTAAATAACATATATGGAATTTAAGTTTTGAAGATGGGAATAATTTTCCCAAAACGTCAACTTGATATGTAATTTAACAAATAAACCAATTGTTTGTATATCTGGAACTTTACATTGCAAAAAATAAAAAATATTATAAAGCTTCCCAGCACAAAAAAGAAGTAAAGAAGTTATTTACTTTATTTTTAGTATTTAGTGAGTTATATCCTTCTATAGTTTTTCCATTGAATGTCTCCAATCATTATTAATATTTACCAAAATATGAGTTTTTAAGTTATTAGTTTTTATAGAGGTTATGTTATGATCTATGGTTTTATTATTTTGTATAGGTTTAGGTATTTTCAGTTTATTCATATGTGGATCCAGTGTTCTATTTTGTTTATTGTATAAATTTAGGTAATATATATTTTTGTTAAAATTTATCAATAATAATTTCTAATTTTTTAGTCAATTCCATTATTTCACTCTTTTCATAATTTTCTTCAAATTTATTATAATGAATTTTAGTATTTTATTATGTAATCAGCTAGTATGCTTGGTTTAACTCCATTTTTAAAATACTATATTTAATATTATTGATAAAATTAATTTAATTATTATTTATTGTTCGGGTGCATTTCTGGACATAGAGCAAGCTTTTGAAAGGGTATGGCTCAGCATTTTATCTTATGCCTTGATTGTCTTAAGCTCTTTCGGCCATGCGACGTCTAGCAGCCCAGTAAATTTCACCTTCTGTCTTGGCTTAGTTTTTAATGTCTTGTAGTCCGGAACAAGTCAGTAGATGCAGAGCAGTCATGAATCCTTGTCAACACAGTGGACACATTGCTGAATCGACAACTCCAATACGGTATAGATAGCTTTGGAGATAGTGATGTCCGATTTTCATTCTGAACTGTGCAACGGCCTTCTAGGGAGATCCACTAGCACTCTTCCATTTCCTTCTAGTAAAGAAGCCCATTGCTTCTCTTTTAACTCCAACTGCCGTTTCTGTTCCAGTTCTTCAATGATTACTGTTTTGATTAGCTTCTTTGCTGTCAAGAAAGGGATTTGCATATCTGGCTGATCTTTTCTGACACCTTCTTTTGCTAATCAGTCAGCATTTTCATTACCTGTCAAACCATAGTCCTGGTATCCACTGTAGAACGACATCTATGCCTTCTAAAATCAGCTTCTCAATCAATTCCTGGCACATATTAATTTGATTTGTGGAACAGCAGAAAGGATCTGAAATGGCAATTATTACACCTGTGAGTCAATTACGACCACAATTTTTTGCAGTTTAGACTTTTTTATTAGTTCTACAGCTAAAAAGACTGCTTTTACTTCACTGTCAAAGTTACTTGCTAGCTTTCCCACAGGCTCTGACATTTGGAAATGTTCTGCATAAACACTAGCTCCCCCATCCTTTCTTGCTCTATTCGCAGAACCGTCTGTGTCCACGTGCAACCATAGGGGACTGGGGTACCTCTCCCTTATGGTTTCAAGCGCTAAATTCTTCAATTCTATCTTAGAGCAACTTTGCTTGTTGACTGGTTGCAGAAGCTGTAAATTGGTTTGTGCTGACTTTGTAGAGACCCTTGGTGGAATCATCATGAAATTTTCCTTTAATTTCTCTAATTATCTCCCATTTCTTCCTGAACGTGACTTGGGTTTTAAGCCTCGTTGTGGCAGGTTTACATCCCTTCCAGTAGTCAATTTCCAAACACATCAGTTTCTCACTCATTGTGAGATTCTATACACGTTTGAAGCTGCATAGCTGCAATAGGTGTTGATTTTGGGGTGCCGGTAATAATTCGGAGGACCTTGTTTTGCACTTTTTCAAAATTTACGATGTTAGACTCTGGTGCTGTTATGAGTAACTCACTTCCGTATTCAAGAACAGGTCTCACATAACTTTTATATGCCATCATCAGAACGTCTTGGTTTGCTCCTCACTTCATACCAATGATCCTCTTAATTAGGCCAAGATGTTTTTCACCTTTCTCTACCAGATGGTCTGTATGCTTTGCACAATTCAACCTGTTGTCTAGTACTACTCCAAGGTATGTTGCTGAATTCGTTGGTTTGAGCTGTTCTTGTGCATATTTTAAAGTTATATGATGTTCCTTGGACGAGAGGGAGAAGAGCTGAAATTCGGATTTTAAAGTATTAACACAAATCTTGTTCTCATCAGCCCATTTTTGGAGTTTTTCAAGTGCTTTATTTAAGCAAATTTCTGATGCTTCTGTATGACTGCTCGTTACCCAGAGTACAAGGTCGTCAGCATACATAAGTACTTTGATTCCTGGTAGAGACTCAGGTTTGTATGAGGTCAACTATCATTATGCAGAATAGAGTTGGGCTAAGGACTGAGCCTTGCGGTAGGCACTGTTTTGTCTGCCTGTATTTGGATGTTCCTTGTGTATAGTTGACACGAGTAAATCTTTGGCCACAGAAAGATGCAATATATTTAAACAAATTGCCTTGTACGCCTTTTTTCAATAGCTTTTCGAGAAGTTTCTTGCTCCAAACTCTATCAAATGCAGTTTGGAAGCCTACAAATACTGTGAATGAACTTTGCATGCGGTGATATCCATCTTTAATGTCCTGTGATAGCTGTATTACATGTTCTATGGTGCTTCGATTTCATCTAAATCCTGCTTATTTGTGAGAAATGATCCTATGCTTTTCCATGTGAGTTTGTAATCAGTTCCAAGCAGCTTGCAAAAGACACTAGTCAATGCTATAGGTCAGTAATTTTTCACACAATCAGTAGGTTTTCCTTTCTTAATGGTGGGGATAACGTCGGCTTTCCTCCATTCACAGGACACATAGGATGACCATAACTCGTTTACGAATCGAATTACCATCTGTTTCGCAGAGCTGCCAAGATAGGTGAGGAATTCAGGCAGTAAATTATCTGGTCCACCGCTCTTTTCACGTTTTATTCCATTCAGCGCTACTTCCATTTCTCCCAAACTAAATTCACTGTTAAATAGGGCCGTTTCTCCCTTATGGCCAGGGGAGGGCTCGATGAGGGAAGGTAAGTACACTATTTGGTACGGAGGAAGCGGGAATCATTGTTTAGGTATCGGGTTTCTAATTAGGAGTAGATTACTATCCGCTTTGAGGGACGTACAATTCTTTAGTGATAGAATTTCGGTAGCTATATTTCAGGGACCTTGGTTTAAAATCGCATTAATAAACATACATTGTCCGACCGAAGACAGTGACGATGAAGTCAAAAGTGAATTTTACGATAAACTCGAATGGGTTTATGATAAACTACCGCGAAACTACATGAAAATAATTGTAGGTGACGCGAACGCAAAGGTAGGAAGGGAAGAAGTTTATATTTCGACTATTGGTAAAGAAAGTTTGCACGAATATAGTAATGATAATGGGATCCGTCTGATAAACTTTGCCATCTCGAAAAACCTGATAATTAAAAGTACGACGTTTAAACATAAGGATATTCATAAATATACTTGGACATCACCGGATTCGCAAACATGAAATCAAATCGATCATGTCTTGATACAACATAGCTGGCAAAGCAGTATAATTAATGTACGGTCTTATCGCGGAGCAGAATGTGGGTCGGATCATGAATTGGTAATCGCGAAACATCGACAAAAACTTAATATAAAAAAGAGAAAAGAAAACCGTTTCGATTTTGAGAATTTTAATTTGGAAAAATTAAAAAATCCATCAATTAGAACCCAATTCGAGCTAGATGTTAAGAATAGGTTTGAAGCTTTAGAACTTCCTGACGAGGACCATGAGGATATTGACAAGTTATGGGTAGAGATCAGGGATAATATTATGCGGTCGGTAAATCGTGTCTAGGAAAAAAGGAAAATAAGAATAACAAACCGTGATTTGATGAAGATTGCTTAAACATATGCGAAAACAGAAAAGCCGCTAAATTAAAAGCTCTAAATAATCCTAGCGAGGACAATCTGGAATACTTCCGAACCTCAAAGAACGAAACGACAAAATTGCTAAAAAATAAAAAAAGGGAGTAGCTTAAAAATAAAATAATTGAAATAGAAACTAATATAATCAAAAATAATGTAAGAGACATGTACAAAGGTATAAACAGATCACGTAAATATGTAGGGCCCGTAACGTCTGGAATTAGGGATGATAATAACAATATTCTGATTGATCCCGTTGACATATTGAATAAGTTTAAGGACCACTTCGACAATATTTTAAATACGGGAAATTATGATCTGTGTCCTCCTTCTGAGTACCAGAGTGCTGAACCGTTAATAGAAGGACAAAGTAAAGAGGAAGTTGAAGTAGCTATCGGAAAATTAAAATTAATTAAAATCTTATAAAGCAGCGGGAATCGATAATATTCCTACTGAACTAATTAAGGCATGCGGGGAAGCTGGAGTTTCTAAAATACATCGGTTGGTTAAAAAGATCTGGGTGAATGAGAAATTACCTGAGGAATGGAAAGAATCTATTCTTATTCTGATTCACAAAAAGGGCCCGAGGACGGATTGTAATAACTATCGCGGAATTTCACTCCTACCGGTATGTTATAAAATATTCACTTTAATCTTAACCAGTCGAATCACGGAATACGCCGAGGAAATTATTGGTGACTACCAATGCGGATTTAGACGGAATCGTCCAACTATTGATCAAATATTTTCTTTACGGCAAATATTAGAGAAAAAATTGGAATACAACGGTATTGTTCACCAGCTGTATATAAATTTTAAAAAGGCTTACGATTCTATTGACCGCCAGAAACTGTATAATATTCTAATCGAGCAGGGGATTCCAAAAAAACTAGTAAATCTAGTGAGGATATGCTTGACGGAGACACTCAATAAAGTTAGAATCGGTAATAATCTGTCGGAAAAATTTGAGGTTCGTTCGGGTTTAAAACAGGGGGATTCCCTTTCGCCTGTCCTGTTCAATTTGGCATTGGAACATGCCATTAGGGAGGTAATGCGTACCGAGAAAGGGTTGGATCTGGGTGGGACAACATCCGCGTTGGGCTATGCTGATGATGTGGTACTGTTAAGCAAAGACGTTGAAACTATAAAACTAAATACGACAACGTTAATGAAAGCCGGTAAAAAACCAGGACTCGAAATAAACGTGGATAAAACAAAATATATGGTTAGCTGCAAAAAAGGTGATACTACTGGTGATATCGATATAGACGGTAATATGTTTGAACAGGTAGATAAATTTAAGTATCTAGGTTCTACGATAACTAGAAAAAACGAAATTGAAGAAGAGATTAAGGTTAGACTGAAGTCGGGAAATGCTTGCTATTTTTCTGTGACAAAGCTACTCAGTTCGCGCCTCTTGTCACGGAACTTAAAAATTAGAATCTATAAAACAATTATCTTGCCTACAGTTCTTTATGGATGCGAAACTTGGCCGCTTACATTAAGGGATGAGCAGCGTCTTAAGGTTTTTGAAAATAAAGTATTGCGTAGAATATTCGGACTGAAGAAGGATGAGTTAACCGGAGAGTTCAGACGGTTACACAACGCCGAATTGCGTGAACTATATCCGGGTAATATAATTGAGGTTATTTCCTCGCGGCGAATCAAATGGGCTAGTAAAGTTGTTGGTCTTAGTAACGCGAGAATTCCTAAAAGGTTAATATTTGCTGTGCCGAATGGTAAGCGTCCGAGGTGAAGACCGAAGCGAAGGTGGGAAGATTGCATTAAAGGCGATCTGAAGGGACTGGGTTTGGACGGCGAACGGTGGAAGGAGGTGTGTAATAAGCGATTGGTGGTGTCGGCATCGAACCTTCGGGTTCGCTAAGCCTTTTATTATTTATTATTATTATTATTAATGCTTTAACTTCAAAATATCTTGAGCCACTCTGCCAGTAATCTTGCTGTATCTCGCTCGACTTTTAGTTTTTTTAGCTTCTCATTCCAAAATGCAATACACCTCTTCATCACTCTTGCTCTTGGTACTGCTTTTCCAGCACACTTGAAGAGTACCTTTGTAATCTTGTTAAGAGAGGAGTCAGGGTTCACCGCTATGAAGCCTAGAGTGAGCAGCTCTACAGATGACAATTTAAGATTTTTAGACTTAATGATAACTCTTTTAACACAAAATGAACAAAAAAAAAATATATATATAAAAAAAGAAATAGACTACTAAATTTCCATAGAAAACATCCAAAATACCAGATAATAAACACACCATAAAATCTTATTGGCAGAGCTTGCAAAGTTACGGATGATAAATACATAAAAAAAAATAAAAACAAGCCAAACAAGCCAAAAATCCAAACAAGCCAAAAATCCATAACAGATTTGTTTACTTCCAACAATACTATAGTAACAGAAAACAACACTGCAACAAACAATAATCAAAATAAATTTGATAATAAATCTGAAAACAAATAAAAAAATATCGATTAAATTATATCCCTATTTTAACTCATAAAATTAAAAAAAATATCTATTGAAAATGATTTTGAGATAAATTCAGGGTTATATAATCAAAACAAAATTTATAACCATCTAAGTCATGCGAAAGAAAAATAAATAGGTTAAAGCAAAATGATGTTGTTTATACAGATTGAATGCAATAATTTCGTATCGGTATACATAGGTGAATCCTGACAAAATATTGAAAAAAGAATGAACCAGCATTTTAAGGATTCAAAAAATACTAAACTAGACAATAAAACAGCACTAGCTCACCATAGTATTGTAATTAGACATACATTAAATTTAACAAAGTATCAAATATCACACAAAGAATCAAATAGTACACACAGAAAAATAATAGAATCTATTGAAGAGAAGGATGGTTAGGGTGATCAGTCAAAACAAAATAGTAAAAATAAATAATTGTATTTATTTTTACATTAGCCGACATTTCGGCACAAAGTTCAGGCCTTCATCAGGTCTAAGAAAAGAACCAGATAACAATTGGTATAAGAAACTATAAACATTGAATAATAAAGAATTAAAATTAAAAAAAGTGAAAGGCATAGACTAAAAATTCAGGTAGAAAAACTTAACGTAAAATGAAGTAGATATTACACAAAGAATCAAATAGTACACACAGAAAAATAATAGAACCTATATTCATCACAAAACATATTAATAAAGCAATAAATGATAAACCAGATGTAGCTAAAATAGGGAACCATTACGCTTAAATAATTAACAAATTAAATATATGAAATAACAAAACCTCTTGGAATTTGATCCTTACTACATAAATTAGTCCAGTGTCTGACTAGGCTCTCCCTAGAGGAGCCCACAATATAACTAAGGTAAATAAATTTATAACAGAATCTATGATACAAATAATAATATGACACGGAAAAAATGATTGTATTTTTAGGGATAATTTATTAAAATAAAAATTATGACAAGTCTTTTTTAAAACATTAGATGTTAGAAAGATAATGGTTAAGATTGGCAAATCAGTTATTGATATTATAAGTTATAAAATTTATGCATGAAAAAGTATAAATACAAATAAAAAAAATGTTTCTTGTTTCTAGTCTGAAGATGGGATAATAAAGCAGATATCGAAACTTCATAAAAATAAAGAAAATTTTTTTTGGTAGAGTTAACTGTTACTTAAGTTTATTCATATACCTTATATAAAGTATTTAATTTGACTGCACCTCCTATCCAAATATTTCTCAAATTATTATCACTATCAACTATCTCCACACTATTATAAAAACTGTAATAATTAAAATAAAATTAAATTAAAACTATATACATACTCTAGCAGCAAATGCAGCACGATCTTGAGATGTATCAATCAACCTGGAGGCTTCCCCCATACGGCGGGCGCATACCATTCGAACGGCAACTGGTAATTCTTTTAGAATAGTTACAACTTCAATATGATTCATGCCAAGCAATCTGTGTCCATTTACCTGCACATTGTATACAGAATTGAGAGATAACAGTTCTCAAAAGGAGACACTATTAAACAAGAGGTTCAAAATTAGCATTTTTTGGTATTACAACTAAGGTGGTAGGTTGGTAAAGAATGTAATACTAAATAGCATTATAGACATTAAGGTATTATTAAATACCCGATAAAAATAAAATAAAAAAGTAAGGTAAATAAGTAAAATAAAATGGTGAGCAAAGAGTTGACCAAAGAAGTTATAATCTGAACCAAGGTATTAAAGACCAGTGGAAAATTATTAATTAGACAAATTAAATTATTAATGAAACATTGAGTTTATTAGTTTCCAAAAACTACTAAAAATAGAAAGAAAAAAATCTAAAGTAGCAGAATACTGGCCTAAAAATGGATGGACAAAGTAGCCGATAATGTAGTTAGTCTTTAGTCCAGAGAAACTTAGGTGAAAAACCAAATGAAAGATTTGAAAAAAGCTAAACTAAAGATGTATATATTTCTGTAGATGGATCCATGAACAACTTAACAACAAAACCAATACATAGCAAAGCAATGAAATATCAAAATTTCAAACAACAATGTAGAATAGTAATTAACATACTGCCAACACTGGTTCATTATAAATTATTTTATCTTTGAGATATAACCTGCTTATTGTTATTATTGCATATAATGGTTACTAAGTATGTGTATTAATTGCCTTTTCATTTATTTATATATGTAATTATTATTCAACATTGGCGATGACAGGAGTTCCTTGTCAAGTTCCTTTCAGTGAATCAGTTGTAATGACATCGATTGAAACTAGTAAACCTCCACCTTTGATCCTCATTCTGAGCATTCATCAGTCGGTCAACGTTGGAAGTGGTTAAAAAATTTTGAGTGATATGTTGTCACTGTAGGTATTATGGAGGATATGAGAAAAAAGCTCTGCTAAACAAAATATTTGATCCCGAAAAAATATATTTATTTTGAGATATATAAGTTTAGAAAAGCCTGTCAGCTTCCTAATGAGTCATTTTCTGGATTTTATGCCCGATTGCGGTCCTTTTCCTCCACAAGTAAGTTTATGAATAGATTAAATTTTGAAATTATAATGCAACTTTTAGTAGTTACTCATATAGTTTTATAAAAAAAATTCTGGTGAAACCAAATATCACTTTGGATGCAATCCTGGAGTTTGGATGTTCAGAGGAGGCGGTATCTTCTTAGTTACAAGATCTGAAGGAATATGATCCAGATATCGACATTCACAAAATTCGTACCTCTTCCCAGAAGTGGCAGAGCATGCTAGCGGACCCATTCTCTGAGTCTCTACAGAGGTTCTTGTTTCTAAGCCTCACAAGCTGGATCAGCTGCATTTATGTGTCGACATGAGATCAGCTAACAAGGCTATTTTTAGATAGCATCACCAATTGCTTACTAATGATGATCTGATCACTGTGGTGCAGTCTTTTTCTCAAAGTTGGATCTCCGCGATGGGTTTCACCAAATTGAGCTTAGTGAGTCAGCTTGAAAGATTACCATAGTTTACGGCGATACAAGTACCTATTTTTTGGTATCATATCGGCATCAGAGATTTTCCAAGATACCATTCGTTAACTCATTGCACCTGTGAACGTTAGTGATTTTTGTTGATTTTTGGAAGTTCCCAGCAGGAACATGAAAGGGCACTAGCTGCAACAGGCAGTATATTTTCTTTCTGGTCACTGGTGAGCAGCTGGTATATATCATCCGAGTACCCTTTTTTTACCTAAACATTATCAAAATTAGAAGCTTCGTCTAGGCGTTTCAAAAATCAGCTATTGTGCATAATCATTTTTCCCTGGTGTTTAGCTGTAACCTAGTTTCCATTAACAGACACTACTTCATAAGGGCTAGGGTCGAAGAAAGGTGTAAACTTGTTGGCCTGAGGCTGCTTTACAAAATCTATATTCGAGGGATGTAGCCCATGAGGAGCAGCACAAAGTTTCTCATTTGCATAGGCAGACATCTTCTGTTTGTTTTATAGTCTTAGTCTCATGTTTCCGCTTCAGAGTTTTTCTCTACAAGTTCAACAGGTAGCAAATACTAAATTTTAAGGGTTGTTTAAAAATTAGACTTGATGGACTGATACCAGTAGTTGCATGGTGTGAGGTGCGATGATTCATTAAATAGGCGTCTAGTTCTTCTGGCTAATTCTTCTTCTCCACAATATTCGTCTGCACTGTTTTTTTTTAGTCTTTGACCATATCAAAAAGCTGAATTTTTCAGGAAATTAAAAAAAAAAATACTATAACATAAAATAAAAAAGAAATATAAATACTGTTTTACCTCAAGAAGTTCATCTCCAGATCGAAGTTTACCATTCTGACCAACTGGACCTTCTGGAAGTATTGACCTTATGTAATGATGAGGTCTGACTTCTTGGCCATCTTCGACATCAACTGTGCCTTCCAAACTAATCCCTAGTCCTTTACTTTCCCCAAATTTTTTTAATTGACCTACCTACAAAAATTAATAAGGTTTAAGTGTTACTGTGATCATTTAACCGATGACCATCCAAGATACCCATAAAAATATATATGGATAAATGTAATCGTATGGTTTATCCAACCATCTTTTTACACTTCAAGGATTCAATGGAAAAATAATAAATGTAAATTATTCTGTTTTTATTTTATTTTTTTAATGAAATTTACAACTGTATGAAATACAACCAGTAAATATGCACACATTAGAAATAATGACATGAATAGACTTGAAGAGATACTACACAATGGTAGCACTCCCTATTTAATTCTAGGTAAGATCATGAGGTCATCTTCTTTTCAGACGCCTAGGGAGATTATCAGGAATCGAGGAAGAAGCAAGGCTAGAAACAAAAGGATTCGGATGGGACTGGAGTTTATGAAAGGATAGGTATCTGGCTCGGACTAAATCAGTGACATATGGAACATTAAGGAGTTTGGATTGGATACGATAGGAATTCGATGGTTTGGTAGAGCTTTAAAGCTCAACTCCGTATGTCCATATAGGTCTTATTATGATGGGTGATAAATATTCAGGACGCAGTCTTTTTTAAAATTTTTTTTATTTTTGCCAACGTTTCAACCCAAACATGTGGGTCATCTTCAGGGCTGAAAATGTTTTTTTTAAAATTACAATCAGAGATATAATAGTATAAGACCGCTAATTATAAATAATAAACTATAGTGATTGATGACACATGAATCTTGACTAATATTGTAATACACATATTAAAATAGTTATACAAACTAAAAATAAAAAATAATGTATATAATCCATTTATATAAATTTGTAATATTTTCTCTTACTAACCGTGGTTTGAACACTGAGGTTGTTCATGTACTGACACATGTTTGGTAGGTAAGTTAAAAGGTCAGGGGGGGGGGAGGATTTCCCACTTGTCCTTTTTTTTTAGATAGCAAAAGGTAAGAAAAGAAAGTTAGAGGGGAAGGGAGGGTAACATATGTTGTTTGTAGAATATACATAATTTGCTGACAAATATTTCAGACGTGTACAATATTTGAGTTATTTCATATGGTTACAGAAATGTGACTATTGACTAGTATTAAAATGAACATAAGCAAAAGGTGCCAATTAATATAAATATAGCTTAGTTTGATAGCAAGTATACAAGGGTTAGGTGAATAATTTTTATAATAAAGACAATTTCAATATATGCAGATGATACTTAGGAAAACATATTGTACAATATTTATCATAATATAAGTTTGTGTTATATTAAGGATTACATAGGCTATTGTTTCCGCCTCCTGAATCACAAATGCTGGGTGTTGAGGACCTGGATTTTGTGGAGAGGAAAAGGACCAGAAGAGAGGACCCTAGGCCACCGCCAATTGTCGTGCGGTTCGTCCGCCGGACGGTGCGTGACAAAGTCATCCGCTTGCGCAAGGTCAAGAGGGATTTTTCCACACGGCATCTGGGCCGAAACAGCGACGAGAGAATTTATCTGGGCGAAGAAATGAGTCCAGGTAATAAGCATTTATACTGGTTGGCAAGGCAGAAAAGGGCGTCGGGTATGCTGAGATACGTATGGTTCGCTGGAGGAAAGGTTCGATACAGAAGACAGGATGGATCCCCGGTCATCATCGTCAACAAAAAGGAAGACATTGAACTGCTGGAATGAAATAGGTCTCACGGTTCCCTCCAACCTCTTTTTTATGAATATCTTTTATTTTATTTTTCTTTTTAAAATATGTTATTGGTCTTTTTTGTTTCTATAGTTCATAATAATTTATTCTATTGCTTATTAAGTATTTTTTTTTAAGATGAAATTTTGTTATTTTACTTCGAATCAGATTTTAATTTTTTCTATGCTTACCTTCATTTAAAGATTTCAAGTAAGATCTATATCAATATAATGTACATAATTTGTTACTATATCGCATTATGTAAGTTTAAAAATGTGCCTATTCCATCAATATTAAAACCATTTTGTCACACTCCGCAGATTATCCTTACCCTGACCTCTTCATGACCAATACCTCAATATCCTGTCACGTTAACTCCCAATCCCTTCTAGCACATTATGACGAATTCCTCGATTATTTTCACCATAACTTCCATCATATCATAGCCGTTTCAGAAACTTGGCTTAAACCTGATATTCCCTCCCTATCTGTTTCCTTACCCAACTATACCCTCTTCCGTTATGATCGAATGGAACGAACAGGTGGAGGTGTGGGATTGTTCGTACATGACAGTTTGACGGCCAAAGTCCTTCTAAAATCTCCTACAGATTTCCTTTAGTACCTTTCCTCTACTCTTTATCGTTATTTACCGACCCCCTACGAAATCTCACACAAATGACCCTACGTCGCGCCAAAGCCCAATACTTCAATAATGTTTTATCCCAAGAACCTAACCCTAAATTCAAATGGAAAATCCTTAAGAACCTCTCTGTTGTTACCTCGAAAACCTGCACACAGTATCCAATCGATCCCAACACGTTAAATTCTTTTTTCCCTAACCATTTTCTATCCACATCTCATCTTTTTCCATTACTGAAACCCCATTTGATCCTGATAAGTTTTACTTTCTCGACATCTCTCCTACTGACCTGCTCTCTGCCACCCTTAAATCAAAAACGAATGATTATGGTCCTGACCAAATACCTGTTAAAGTTATCAATCTCTGCCTTCCAGCTTTACTACCCGCACTTCTACACATATATAATTTCTCTCTCCAAAATTCCATTTTTCCCAAATCCTGGAAAAGAGCCATAGTCCGTCCACTGAACAAAGTTCCAACTCCTTCATCAGCTTCCGACTTCAGACCCATCTCCATCCTATCCAATCTATCCAAGTCTCTAGAAAGATTAGTTCACTCTCAGTTGAACAGCTTTCTCGAGCAAAACCATCTCCTCAATCCCTTACAATCTGGTTTCCGATCCCAGTATTCCACCCAGTCGGCCTTGCTAAGGATTACCCAAGACCTCTAATCCGCCATAGATAAACAGAAAATCTCCATCCTAATTCTTTTTGACTTTTCCAAGGCGTTTGATTCTGTTAATCATGAGATCCTTCTTTCCAAACTCCAAAGCCTGCCCATGTCAAATAGCGTCCTAAAATGGTTCCTATCCTTCTTATCCAATCGATCTCAGACAGTTACAATACCGAATAAACCTCCATCATCATCACTTCAATTAATGCGAGGTGTTCCTCACTCTCCCCGACCCTTTTCTCTATCTATATTAGTGACCTTCCTAACGCCATTCAACACTCCAATTACCACCTATATGCCGATGATTTCCAAATATACCAATCATTCCAACCTTCTGAGAAGCCTGAGGCTGCCCGGCGGCTACAAGAGGACATCGACTACATCAACAGATGGGCAGAAATAAATGAATTAAAGCTGAATGCAGATAAAACCAAGGCTATTATCATCGGGTCCAGAAATCTCATCAGCTCCCTTCCTTACTTTCCTCTACTTTACCTCAATAACCACCCCATCCATTTTTTCCCTACAGTCAAAAATCTAGGAGTAACCTTTGACCAGAACCTCTCCTGGGATAATCATATCTCCCAGATTACCCGAAAATCCATAACTGCCCTTAAACAACTCCTAAGATTCCGTGATTGTATTCCTCTAAAAACCAGACAACTCCTTGTAACCTCCCTTGTATTCCCCCACTTCGACTACGGCTGCTTGGTGTATGGAGGGCTATCTGCCAGGCTGGAAATGAGACTAAAAAGACTCATGAATTGTTTCATAAGATTCATTTTTGGGATCCCCAGACGTTCACATGTTTCACTATGGTACACCGAGTTGAAGTGGCTTTATCCTACTTCCCGACGACAATTCCTTCTTGGCGTTTTTCTTTTCCAAGTCTTCAGAACTAAAAACCCTCCCTACATCCTGGAACTCCTTACTCTACGCTCCTCTATCCACTCTCTCAATACTAGGTCTCAACCTATAGACTTATATATTCCCTCCCATAAAACTTCCTCCTTCAGCAAATCCTTCGTCATTCGTGCTGCTTCCTTATGGAACTCACTTCCTACCCCCATGCGTCAATCCTCATCCACAAATTCCTTCAAACAATTCCTGTTCCAACACTTACTCCACATTCAAACTTCCCTTAACATGTAAAATTACTTGCATCTATACAATGTTTAATTTCAATCCATTGCACAATTGAAATAACAATTAACAATAAATTAGTTGGTATTTTTATTATGGCGGACTAAGATACATAAATTTGTAACTCTGTTACTATTCTTAGGGGACAGTAGTATTATTAGTATTAATAAAATTATTTTTTCATTTCATTTTCATTTCTTATGCCACAATGGCAATACGGGTGTTTGCAATAGTGTGTTTTAGGCATGAATACTTAATAACACACTACTACTAGATATGCATATATATAGTTCTTCTGTTTTATCTTCTTTGTTCTTCTTTCGGCCTAGCTTTCACAATCTGGAGGTCTTCCTGGCGCTTGTCCTCTTCTTCTGCGAGCACCAATATGGAAGTGAGCGGGCCCCACTGCAGTCTTCCATCCATTTATGAAATCCTTAAACCGCAGGAAACTTTCCTCACTGACTAACTGAGGAAACTCATTTTCAGTGAGGACATAGATTCCCGCGGCTCTTGTCATTGTCGCTCTTAACGTTTCAAACACGGTGCAGGTCATGACCACGTGCTCTACAGTTTCCGGAACACTACAGATTGGGCATAGAGGATCTACATCAATGCCCAGACTGTGAAGTTTAGCTCGAAATCCTCCATGCCCTGTGAGGAACTGGGAAATCCAGTAGTCCGGGAGGACCTACTTTGCCTGAAGCCTCGACTGTACTGTGGGAAAGTACTTCCTCAATGTACTTCCTTTAGGGGTTGTTACCCACCGCCGGTTCCATGCTTCAATTGTATCCTCCTGGAGTATCTTCTTCCACCTATTAGGCGCTTCCATAATCCTCACCTGTAGATTGTCCGAAAGTACTGTAGAGCCTTCTATCTTGTATGAATATTTCGTCACTTCTTCTAGTAGGAGGAGGTTGAGAGGCACCACCCCCACTAGAACCTGCACCGCTTCATGCGAAGTTGTCCTATATGCTCTGGTGACACGAAGCAGAGCTGTCCTCTGAGTCGAGGCTAGCCTTTTTTTTTGTCGTAGTGTGAGGTTACGGAACCAGAAGGGAGACGCATACCTCAGGATACCCTCCACAACTCCTTTATATATCGTGATTGTGGCTGGATACCTAAGGCCCCAGAATGCGCCTCCCACGCGAGTTAGACCGTTCATTGCTAGGGCCACCCTACCTGCCATATATTCCAAGTGAGGTGTCACATTTAGGCCTAAACCTAACCTAACTCCTAGGTAGGTTACCACCTCACTTACCACGGTTAGTAAGAGAAAATATTACAAATTTATATAAATGGATTATATACATTATTTTTTATTTTTAGTTTGTATAACTATTTTAATATGTGTATTAAAATATTAGTTAAGATTCATGTGCCATCAATCACTATAGTTTATTATTTATAATTAGCGGTCGTATACTATTATATCTCAGATTGTAATTTAAAAAAAAAAACATTTTCAGCCCTGAAGATGACCCACATGTTTGGGTTGAAACGTTGGCAAAAATAAAAATTTTTTTTAAAAAAGACTGTGTCCTGATTATTTATCACCCATGATATGTAGAACAGTCGACTAACTTCCTTCAAGAGGTCTTATTATGGTTAAGCAGATGAGTCTTTTGTAATTAATTGATAGTTTAGAGTGTTTGTCTAATAAGTTTTGGAGCAGCCCGAAATGTTGATCAGTTTCTTGTCGTTTTAGTATAGTATGTGGATTCCAAGTAAGACGTTTATCCAAGTGGAGTCTTAGATAGTGGATTTTTTCAACAGGGACAACTGAAATATCATTGAAGGATATTTTAGGACAAGAAGTTGTAGGTTTACGAAGAAGGGTAAAGGTAATTTTATAGGATTTATTGGAATTTATTTTTATTCTCCAGTTATAACACCATTTTCAAGGTTTATGATATGTGATTGGAGGGTTTGGGATGCAATTAAAGGGTCATTATTAACATATAGGGTACAAGTGTCATCGGATAGGTGGTGATGACTGTGTTAGGATGGGTTGGGATATCAGCTGTTTAAACTGCATAAAGGATAGGACCAAGGATGCTCCCTTGAGGAACACCAGCGGACTAAGAAAAGAAGGATGAACATGCATTATAATGATTTACTTTGAAGTATCAATCAGTAAGGTATGCACAGATAATGAGGAAGTATGTAGGTGGAAGGAATCGACGGAGTTTGTACAGCAGTCCCGGGTGCCAGACTCTATCAAATGCCTGTTCAACGTCAAGAAAGACTCCCGTACATTACATTTTATGCTCCAATGCAGAGGAAACTATGTCTACCACACGATGACATTGCTGGATAGTGGAATGGGATGTGCGGAATTCAAATTGGTGATCAGGGATTACATTATTAGAATCTAGGATGGGTTACAGGTGTTTTAAAATGAGTTTTTCCAGAATTTTGCCCATGATGGGTAAAAGAGAGATAGGACGGTAAGAGGATGGGTATTCAGGTGGCTTTTTGGGTTTCTCCTTGGGTGGATCATTTTGACAATAGATAGTATCTAAGGATTAGAGAAATATATGGATCGGAGCAAAGCATTGTATATAAGAAAGGAATAGGATGGCTTTTGAGGAAGAATTTTTAAGATTTTAGATGTAATTAGGTCATGTCCAGGAGCTTTGCGTGAAGGTAATCTATGAATGATGTTGGATATTTCTGTGGGATGGAATGCTTTAGGTGGAAGGGACATTTGGAGAGAAGTATCCAGTTCTGCAGCAATACATT